CGGTATTGCCCCAGGCTGGACTCAGAGCTAAGACTTAACAAATATAAGATGCTACAGATGGATTTCCCTCTTTTTCCCCCACAAGTATAGCTGTTGGTAAGTTTTCCTCCCGATTTTTCCCTAACACGGCTTTACAGCAAAGCTCCAGTGAGAAGAACTGCGGTCCCTTCCCGGCGTATGGGACACGGAGATGGGTGAGAGGAGAAGGGGACAAGGGGATGGAGGGACCTTCTCCAGCCTCCCACTGCCCTTTACTTCCCAACTACACCACAGAACGAGCCTTCCTCACATCCTAAGGGAGCCCATCCCAGCAGGAAGCACGGCTCCTGGAAAACTGCCCTGCTTCTGTTAAAGGTTTGGCCTCGGGTGAAATAACAGACTGGGAGAACCAGCCCTTTGTGCCACAGGTAATGGTTGCTGGGTGCTCTTATCTCCTTTTCCACCCTTACTGTGCAAGTTTGCCCTTTCTTGGTTGGGTTTTCCTCTTCCTGAAACAAGTTTTGTTACCACTTCGTCTTTGCGGTGTTAGGTTCTGCTGATTAAGGTCAGGTTGTCAGTTACTAGATAGCAGCAACCTCCCCCCCCTCCAAATTCTTTGCAACCTTTGCAGTGTCTGCAGAGTGAGACCTGGAAGACGTGGTTTGGTGATGGCACATGCAGCCGGGGAGGCACTACCCTGGGTGCAGGCTGGTCCCTTGGGGCTCCCTGGTCCTGGGAGGGATTCCCTGCACCCCAAGGGGCTGCGGGGGCTGCGGTGCCCGGCTCTGGGGGCACAGCTCGAGCGGACACTGTGGTGGTGCTGGGAGGAACATGAGCTGAGCCGTCTTGAAAAAACAAGTCTTGCTCTCAACTTGAATGTCACTTGTTCTTGATGCTGTGGAAGGATTGCTGTGCTGCAAGGTAATGCCTGGTTTTTCCCTTTTTGTGTTGGGTGGCGTTGCCTGTGCCAGCATTCACCCAAAAAGGTGGGTAAGAGGGTTATCCATACGCTGCTTGAAGCTAAATTGTATCTGAGTTGTGGGATCAATGTGGAGCTGGTCTCCTCTGCCTGGAGTAGCTGCCGTCTGCTGTGTCTTCAGGTCCTCTGCCGAGCCCACGTTGTGGCTGTAACATTTTCTGCTAAATGGCTGTTGGGAAGAGCCTGAAAAGTTGCACGGTTCCGTGAGCTGAAACGCTGGGATGAAAACCCAAGACCCTGTAGAAGACCCCTAAGCCCAAGTCACCAGAACCTCCTCCCGGGAGCAGCCTCAACGGCTGCAAGATCTGCTGGAGCTGAAGATGCCTGAAGGAAGGCGATCCCCTCGGTGTTGTCTCCTGGGGGAGAGCCCGGAGCGTTGGGACCCTCGCATCAAACCAGAACGGGTGGAGGCCTGTGGATGCTGTCAGGTGGGGCTGGGGAGGAAATGGCAGGGAGAATGGAGTCTGCAACCAGAGGAGATGGGCCAGGGCCGACTTTTAATCCTGCCGTTAAGTCTCACCTACTTTAAATTGCTGCAGAGCGCCCTGGCTCAGCCCCCGCGCTGATTTGTAGCGTTAATCGATGACTGCCCTCCCCACGCAGTGTCGCGCCGGGACCGCCAGGGGGCGCTGCGGTGCCGCTGCAGCCATGGGCGGCGGCCGCCAGGGGGCGCTACCGCGGTACCGGGAGCAGCGGGAGCGGGACCGCACGGTGAGCGCACGGTAGA